ATATATTTTTGCCTATATGAATAAGGAGGGTATTTTGATCTCTCTGTACTTCAAAGAATCATTACGTTGCAGCTAGGAAGTATTTATGTACAATACTAAAGGTGACTATGTCGAAGGATTTAGACCACAGGGATTTGTGCTCTCAGAGGTGATTAAGAAACCTATGTCTAGCAACTAAGGTTTACCCAAAGAGCGATTTTATAGATATTTCCTCAGGTACTATATTTTTCCCAACTATTTTGACAAAGAATTTTTATCAGATAAATTGACTTGTTTCAAATTTGTCTTTTATGGTTGAAATGAATGTAATAAATTAACACATTTACTTGCAATTTATGAAATGAATAAAATTCTAGGTTCATGAGCTATATCTTTATTATATTGAAAAGAATTAAAATAATAGTGTGAATATCTTGAGCTTACAGTCAGTTCTGTACTGAAATGTATCATATTACTTATTAGAACTTTATATATGCTTTTTTAAAACTCTTTTTCATACTGGAATCATTATGTTTATTATACACTGGTTCGGATATAATTTCTGTATTAGCAAACTTATATGCACAAAATTGCCTAGAGAGTATGTACTTAAAGTTTAGTTGTTTTGGAATTCACAAGAAGATTATATTTGACATATGCTTTGGTGTTTATTTTTGCTTAATATTTTATTGCTAGGATGATTCAATATATTTCATACAGCTGTAGTTCTTTTATTTTAACTTCTGTATAAGATTCCATTGAGAAAATATATTACAATTATATGCCTATTAATTCATTGATAGTAATTTTTGCTAATAGCTCTTTTTGACTTATCTGAAAGACTGAGTTATGAAAAACAATTTTGTGAATGTCAACCGAATATGTATGTGAAACTGTCTTCTGGGTGATTACCTATAAGAGTAATTGTTGGTTTGGGAATGATACATAATAACCTTTGTAAATCATTATCCTCAAAGTGATTCTATTTACATTATTAATATATAAATCACTGCATGTAGCTACATTTTATTCAACAAATAGCCTGCAGATTTTAAATTGTTGCCAACCTAGGGAATTATAAGACTTGAGAGAGAGAGAATCTTTTCCAGAGGAGAAAGAGCAAAGGGTACCCATAAAGTCTAAGAAAGGAATTACACAGTTTAAGATGCGAGCAGCCCCCAGGATAGGGAATATGTACTATTTGCCACGGTAAATTTTAAATAGGGTTTTTCCTAAGCTTCCCTACTTGGGCCTTTCTATGCAGATAATAGTCTGTTGGTAGGGCATTGTCTCCAGGGGGAGAGTTTTGATATTTAAGTCGTCTTTCATATTCTTACCACAGACTTCTGTTCATGTTAAGGCTTCTGTGTTACTGTTGGGGTCTCTACTGATTGGGATGGTGTCTGTTTCTGCACCTTCAGAGGTCTATAGCCTGTGTGCCTTTAGGTTACCTTACCGCCTCGGGAGCACTGTGATGGGTGTAACCCGATAAACTTAAGCTCCCTGTGGCAGGTGACAAAGAAATTTCTCTAGAATTTCCAAGGAACTCAGGACCCCCACCTGCCTGCCTGATTTATATTTTCCTTGGGGATTTCACCCCTTTAAAGATTTAAGGGGAATGTGGTTGAAGTTCCCTTTTCTGGAGCTCCTTTATGCTGGCAAAAGATGTAGGTATCTCTAAGTAAGGTACCATAATTTTAATAGAGCCCAGAAATTGTTTATTGCACTCATGTTAAAATGTACATGGTAAAATTTCAATGGAGTTCCTGCAAATTTTTCTTTTTAAAAAAGTTTTTAAATTTTTCATTTTCATTTCATTTCTGATAGGTCAGATATTAAGTTTTGCTTATTCCTTGTTTCTTTTTCCCAACATATTTTTCAGGGCTTACTCCTGGTTTTGTGGTCAGAGATGAATCCTGGTGTGCTTGTGGGACCATATGTGGTGCAGGGGATGGAACCCTGGTAGCTGCATATGTGATCAGTACCCTATCTGTTGTACTAATTCTCTGGCCTGTGTTGCCACTCTTAACTCTTTGATATTTAATTTTATAAAGACTTTGTTGTTTTCCACAAAATTAAGTTTATTTTACATGAGAGTTTTTAAAACTCTCAGATCTATATTGGATGAGCGACACCTTGATATGTCATTAGTTTAAAAAAATTTGCTTTTCATTTTTCAGTGATCAGCAGGGCACCCACTTTCCTTACTATTTTCAAAATCTTTAACTGTCAGATTTTTGGACAAAAATTGGTGGTGATTCCTTGAGTTTTAGTTGACTTGTCAATCTGCCCATGGGATGAAATCAATCATGATGGATTTTCAGCTCCAGGAATAAGGCCTAGGTGACTGTTGGGAAGTTCAGAGCAAGCCAAAAGAGGACAAGATGGAGATAGTAGAGACCCTGAGAGGCTCTAGAACAGGTTTCCTGGAAGAGGCAAGGTGTGGGGAAACATGTTTGCTCCACAGCGTTCTGAACTTGGTTTCTTTGTGAAAATACTTAAAACTTCTTCCTGACCAGGTTAAAATTGGAAGTGGAACTCCCCCCACCTCTCCCCCCGCCCACTGTGTGATGCATTTAAAAACTAAGAAAAGAAATCCCAAGAATCTTATTAGGGGTAGAAATGTTAAAATATTAATCTAGAAGTTAAAAATTAATTCTTTTTTTAAATGTAGGAGTACTGCTATTTATTCACCCTTGATTAAGCTGATTGAACTGGACATGAACACATTACTTAAAAGAATTTTTTAATTGAATATCTGTAAGACAGACCATTGTAAAATTGTTCATAATTGAGTTTCAGTCATACGATGATCCAGCACCCACTCTTCCACCAGTGCACATTTCCCTCCACTAATGTCCCCTGTTTCCCTAGCACCATCCCAATACCCCATCCCCCACCCCAGCCTCCTTCTGGCAGGCACTTTTCTTATTGCTTTCTTTCTCCTTTTTCTTTTGTGCATTATCATTTGCAATACAGGTGCTCAGAGTTCATAGTGTTTGTTCAGGAGATTTGGTATTTTTATTGTGACAGTAAGGCTGGGGTAGCATTTCAATTCGGTGGCCACTTTGGGATATGGATATGACTGCAGAGGCTTCCGGAAGTAGAGGGAGGTGGGAGGAGGTAGCTCATTCCAACCCTGAGAAAGCCTGGGAATTTCCATCACAAAACCCATATAGTTCAATAAAAACTAATTCTTATTATAATCTATTTTAGTGACTCCAAAACAGAGTTATTTAGAGTGAGGTGTTTTTATTATTTATTTATTTATTTTTTAATTTTGATGAATAGCATCAAGACCTTATCCCCTATCAGATTTTGTCCCAGTATGAAGTTAGCTAAGTTGCTATAGCATAGGAACCCCAAATTCCTGGGCTCAATATCACACTCTGTATATCTCTTATACTTCCTATGTGTAGGCATTGCTCTGCTCATGAGGGTGGTACCTTTCCATCTTACTCTTCCATCCTCCTAGGAATTTTTCCCTATCGGTCAGATATAGGTACCCTCCACATTGGCTGTCTAGCAACAGGCAGAGGAGGGAGAAGCTGACTGAGTAAGAGGCTTCGTCTTGGAGAAGCTGCCATAGATTTCACACAGATTGTTCCTTAGCATTGGTGGAGGTGAGGGGTAATGTGTTTGCAGCATGACAGACTCAGACCCAGTCCCAAGAGAGCAGAGAGGGGAAAAGGCTGAGTGTGGTTAACCTGTTTTGGACCAGGTGAACAGAGGGGACTTGTTCATCCAAGTGCTATGTTCGTGAGGTAAAGTCACTGTCCAGCACCTTTCTTTCTTAGTACAGTATTTGATTGAAATAGTTCCTCAGGAATTAGTGTGCATACCTATGACTTGCTTATCACATTTATTTATTACATATTGTTGATATGTACTTACTGAGAGTCTGGAAGTAACTCCCACAAATAGCTTGCCTTTTATTTCTATATCTGGGCCCCCTCCCCTTATCATTTCTTGATAAAATTGTGTCTTGTGAAGTTATTGGTATATAGAAAAAGTCCAGATGACAGACTTTATGGGTGTGATTGATTGCTATTTGATTTCAACCTATGTCCTGTCTTGTAGCACTGTCCTCCCATTGCTTATCAATTTGCTCGAGTGGGCACCAGTAACGTCTCACAACAAATTGTGAGCCTTGTTGCTACTGCTTTTGGCATATTGAATACGGGGAACTTGCCAGGTTTTGCCATGAGGGGGAGTTACTCTCGGTAGCTTGCCGGGCTCTCTGAGAGGGACAGAAGAATTGAACCCGAGTTGGCTGCATGCAAGGCAAACGCTTTACTCGCTGTGCTATCACTCCAGCCCTTCAACCTATGTAAACAAAGAAATTCAAATTATTTAATACAACATAGTACATTGTCTATTCTTTGTTACATGATGTAGTTTTGAACTCTGGCTTCTAAAACGCAATTATAAGATGTTAAATAAGTTTCTAACCATAGATTAGGCCTCCTGGCCTTTCTTTCTACTTGCCACATGTAGGGAGCTGGGGAGCATAGTTAGGATGAGAAGGAACCACTATGACAGTAATATCTAAAAATAATCACTCTGGAAAAGAACTAAGTGTTGAAAGGAGGTAAAAGGATATATGTGATGACCTTTCAGTACCTGTATTGCAAACCATAATGCCAAGAAGAATGGAGGGAGTGAGGGAGGGATGAAGAGAGGGAGAGAGGGAGAGAGAGAGAGCGCGAGTGAGTAAGCAAGTGAGTGAGCGAGCGAGCGAGAGACAGAGAGAAAGTGTCATAGAGGTAGGCTCGGAGGGGGTGACAGGAGGGAGACAGGAGGGAAACTGAGGGTGTTGGTGGTGGGAAGTGTGCACTGGTGAAGGGGCGGTTGTTGCAATGTTGTATGACTGAAACCCAACCAGGAACAACTTTGCAAACTGTGAATCTCATGGTGATTCAATAAGAAGGAATTAAAAAGATGTTCAATAACATTATTTTCTGCGGCCAAGGCTTATGCTGTTTCTATAACTCTCTCTGCATTTTGAATTTTCTATCGTTTCACTTTACACTTTTAATACGCAGCATTTTCCTTATTGCTTTCTTTACATCTTTGTTTCTTAAAGTGTAGATGAGAGGGTTGAGACTGGGTATAAGTATCACGTACACCAGAGCAATGAACTTCCTTTCATTTTGTAGTGAGCTATTCTGTGGCCTCACGTACATAGACATGAGTGTTCCATAGAAGAGAGTCACCACGGTGAGGTGGGAGCCACAGGTGCTGAGGAGCTTCCGCCACCTTGTTGCTGACTTGATCCTCATGACAGCGCGAGTGATGATGCCATAGGAGATGAGAATTGCTGATAGAGGCACCAGAAGAAATAGCACTGAGAGAGCAAGGAAAACGACCTCAAGGACTTTTGAATTGGTACACGCAGTCTTAATGAGATCTAGGATCTCACAGAAGAAGTTATCCACCTCTTGGTGCCCACATCTTGGCAACATTAAAGTCATGGTGCAAACAATGATGGCGCAGCCAGCAGTAGTTAGCCAGGCAGCTAGCACCATCCTGTGACAGAGCTGAGGGTGCATGATCACCGTGTAGTGCAGAGGCTGGCACACTGCAGCATAGCGGTCATAGGCCATCACGGCCAAGAGCAGACACTCTGTGGCGCCCAGGTCAACGGAGACTGTGGCTTGAACCAAACAGCCCACGTATGTAATAGACCTCTTTGAGCTCCACAGATTTACCAGTGTCTGGGGGATAATACTGTTGGTGTAACAGAGATCCAAGAAGGACAGGTTGGAGAGGAAGAAGTACATGGGCGTGTGGAGCTGGGCGTCCAGGTGAGACACCAGGATGATCATTGTGTTTCCCACCAGAATCACAGCATAGAAGATGAGGACAACCACTGAGATGATGCGTTCTAGTCGGGGCCATCCAGAGAACCCCAGAAGGATGAAGTCCAGGGTGGAACTCCCGTTGCTCATTTCCATTGCTCCTTATGAAAGGTTAAGAGAATACCAGGTTAACAAAAATTTCCATCTGTCTTAAGTTAAAGTACAAATCTCCTAAATTTCTCTGGAATACCACAAGTCTCCTATCTGCATATTTACTTCCATATGGGGCTTCTATTTTCATAGTTTTGTTGTGCTCAAAGCCCAAAGCCTCTCCATATTCAACCGCACCCAGTATGGTTCTAAAAGTCTTGAATGCATTCACCGAGAATTGTTAACCATTGAAAAGGTCTAACATGCTATGTCGCCCAAGTATCTAAAATATTCAAATATTTTGATTAAGTTATCAATCCCTAAATCAGTTTTCTGAATTTTTACATTTTATGGACATATACATACATATTTATACTTGTGTGCTTAATTGTTGCAGGGCCATCGCCCCAAGCACCCCCAGTGCCCGGCGTTCATGAGGCCACATCTCAAAGTGCTGGGCTGGAAGCCTGTGTGCTGGGGATCAGATCCAGGTCACCCAAAAAATTGAGGTTTCTGTCACTTCAGCTGCATATATATCCTGAGTTGATATATTTTGAGGCTTTGTTCTTCCTTGAACATACAAACGCTACTTAATCATTACAATTTTTTTTACACCGGAGCAGTGAAATTAAGGTGAAGAGAGAAACAAGTTTATTTTTGGATCAGGGCCTCCGATTGGTAGCAGAATTGTTTCCCATATTTGCTTCCAAATTATCTACATCTTGGTCATTAATCATAATCACTATAGCAAACCCCATAATTACCAACCTTCTCCTCTCCATATTTTCTTCCTATTCAACGTCTCTGACTGGTGTTGTTTTATCAACTTTTGTGTTACTGACTACAGTGTCCCTTAGTGCAAAGGTGTTTGATGACAAGAGGCAATCATCTTTCATATTATTTATCCTTAGCTTCATGTATGTATGCTTTTCCTTCTGAATATTTAAAAATTATATTTATAAGCTTGTTCACATTGATTACATTCAATATTTCAATACCAATTCCACCACCATTACACCTTCCCACCACCATTATTTCGAATTTCCCCACCTCCATTCAAGCCTACCTGTCAGGGGCAGATGCTAGATAATTGATTTTCTATTGCTTATTATGACTATCATGAGAGGTTGCATGGCCATGAATTCTGGAATTCTAAAATTGTAAATGGTTGGGCTTCAGAGACTTTGTAGGGAGCTAATCCATTCTGAGATTCATTGGGGAGTCTCTTGATCAAGGCTGTTGATGTGCTGAGATGGAGCCCAGAGGCATTTTGTGGGTGTGACAGCAAGGACCCCAAGAGGCAGGGAGATGGAAAGGGCTGGCCCATCTCTGCTGCCGCCATGTGGCCTGGAGTCTTAGTCCCTGAACCCCTGTACCTGGGTTTTGTTTCTGGAAGCTTGTGGCCACCAGGGTTTCATCTGGTGTGGGCAGAGAGGGCACACCTGCTCCATCTGAGGTGCCCCGGTGGAATTGGTTTGATAGGGGTTCCGGAGAGATCTCCAGCAAGCTGCTGTCTTCTGGATTCACTGCTGTGTCTCTGGATCTTCTTCTGAATTTTTGTGTGAGGGTCTGCAAGAGCTGCTCAGGGGGACTGGGTACCATGCCCAGTGATATTTGGCTCATTAGATTGAAGATTGAGTCTTGAGGAGCTGAGGATGTGGGGCTGTGAGTTCCCTGTGTGGTGCTTGAGAAGTCACTTGGTGCTGGGGTTTGGTGCATTATCAGGCATGGACATTAACCCCAATACTATGTCCCAGCTCCCAGATATTTCTTTAATATTTTTTGCCTTCTGTTACACTATCTTTAAAGCCCTACTGCAGTCAAAAATTGAGGGAATTACAGTATCATTTGGTGTTACATATACACAACAACAGTCAATGTGGCTCCATTTGTCTACTCAGCAAAATTAGAAAGTCAGGCAATTCAAACAAGCAATTCATAAATAATCAGTGTATTGCTTTTCCCCATGGAATTTACCAATTGGGTAAGTTGATCACTTGATTACTTTGGAATTCTTTAGTGAAATCTACCAGCCCCACTTTGACTCTAAAAGAATATAGATATGGTATAAAGCACAACTTCACTATTTCTGAATACTGTAACAAATAGATAAAATGTTTATAGAATTAATTTTTTATATATTTTATACATATAGTTGTGACTATACATCACACATATAAGGTACTTTATATTTATAGTGTCTGTGACCAAGGAATAATGTTTGCTACATTTATAGTAGGAGGGCTGGAGTAATAGCACAGCAGGTAGGGCATTTGCCTTGCACGCGGCTGACCCGGCTGACCCAAGTTTGATTCCTCCGCCCCTCTAGGAGAGCCCAACAAGCTACGAAGAGTATCTTGCCCTAGAGAAGGGAGCACCAAATAAAGGGTGTTTGGAGGATCCTCCCAGGAGGGGAGATGCATGTTGAAAGTAGACTATGGACTGAACATGTTTGCCACTCAACGCCTCTTTTGCAGACCACAACACCCAAAAGGAGAGAGAGAACACAAGGGATTGCCCTGCCACAGAGGCAGGGTGGGATGGGAGGGATGGGGGTGGGAGGGATATTATCCATGGTGGTGGAAAATGGGCACTGGTGGAGGATGGGTATTTGGTCATTGTATAATAGAAACCCAAGCACAAAAAATTGTAAATCTACAACTGTACCTCATGGTGTTTCACTAATAATAATAAAAAAAAGAGTATCTTGCCCGCATGGCAAAATCCTGGCAAGCTCCCCGTGATATATTTGATATGCCAAGCACAGTAACAACAAATCTCACAATGGAGATGTTACTGGGCCTGCTTGAGCAAATCGATGAACAACGGGAGGACAGTGCTACAGTGCTACCCATTATTTCATTCATTTTCATCTGATGATATAATGAAGTTCTATATCTAAACTGGAAAGCTTAAAAATTTTCTACAAAACTTTAAAAAAAATCACACATATGTTAAATATACTCCTTAATGTATATTGAACTGATAAGTCTAAGAATAGGAGAATATAAAGCTTTGGTTCAAAGCTTTCAAAAATGCTTATTAAATTCATTTTTACTTTATAAGCACTTAAAGTGGGGGGGCTAAGAGGGGGGAGATGTAATGATAGTACAGTGTAGAGGACTCTTGCCTTCCGTGTGTCCAACCCAGATTCAATTCCCAGCACCCATATGGTTCCCAGATCACTAGGAGTGATCCCTGAGCACAGAGCCAGGAGAAAGGCCTGAACACCACCAGGTGTGTATGGCCCCCAAATAGGACAAAACAAATAAAAAAAAAGTGGGCTAAGGATAGGAATGGAAAAAGTCAAGGAATTTGAGGATTAAATTGGACCACAATGCCACAGATCCAGGCTCTGCCCTGCACAGAGATGGCCCCACAGAATGATACTCAACTACCACGTTCATAGCCCCAGTCACGGGTCCTCAGCAGCCCATGAAGGAGCTTCTTTCCCCTAGTCAGAGCCTCCCTCTTACTTCGTTTGATAGTTCAAAGACGCTTCTTCTCAGCACCTGGGTATTGGCTTTCTTTTTGGTGCACCATCATTCTGAAAAGACAAAAGCACTGAATTCCAGATGGCCTTACTTTAAAAATTTATTATTATTATTATTTTATTTTGTTTTAGGTCACAACTGGCAATACACAGGAGTTATTCCTGTCTCTGCACTCAGGAATTACTCCTGGCGGCGCTCCAGGGATCACAAGGGATGCTGGGAATCGGACCCTGGTTGGCTGCGTGCAAGGCAAACGCCCTACCCCTTGTACTATCGCTCCAGCCCCCCAAAATATTTTTATTATTAGAAATATGAGCACTTAGGGCCATAGCTATAGTACACCAGGTAGGGTGTTTGCCTTGCATGCGGCTGACCCCGGGTTTCATCCCTGGCATTTCATATGGTCCCCTGAGCACTGCCAGGAGTAATTCTTGAGTGCAGAGCCAGGAGGGGTAAACCTTGAGTATTGATTAGTGTGGCCCAAAAAGCGGGGGAAAAAAAAGAACTCCTAAAAACACAAAACTTAAAAAATGAAGATGAATATTTATGTAACAAATCTAATTTAAAAAATCTTTGAATATTGCCCATCATTTCAGTAGTTTCTCTTCGTGCTTCAACCCAGAACCCTTCTTTGTCATCCCTCCCCAAAAAATCCCTTGACGATATTTGTAATCACTCTGTATTTCTAAACCACCTCAATGCACATGTGTAGATGCTATTGTTTAATGAGACTCATTAAATATGTCCACGTGTCTCTTAAGTTGCAGTTAATATTCAGATTTTTCATTAGACTCTTAGCTTGTTCTTCCCGGTCTAAGTCGCAGATCACGGACAGCTGTTTCAGCACCATATAGTCTTTATTATCATGCTTTTCTGCTTATTTTTTAAATTTTGTTTTTGTTTTTGGCCAGCCTGGAAGCGGTGCTCAGAGCTAACTCTTGCCTCTGTGCTCAGGGATCACTCCTGGCACGGCTGGGTGGGAGGGTAAGAGCATGGCAAATGTCTATCTACTGTCCTACTGTTCAGGTCCCTTTCCTGGTTGTTAATCACTAGCAATGGATCTTAAATGCCTTATTGAATGAAAACAAACAACCAAAAGCATGGAACTCCAGGGCTGCTGCTGTACAAATAGAGGTGTGAATATATTTTGGCAATGGTTAGCAGGTAATAGCAGGTAATAGCCCTACTGAGCTAATTTACTCTAGTGTCTCCTACGGTCACTGGGATTTGAAGTATTGCCAAATCAGGAAGTGCTTGCATAACCTAATGTTATAAGGCAATTAGAGGATTTAATGTATTTTAACTTTCCAATATTAGGTTAAAGCTTGGAGATATAGATACACACACACACACACACACACACATATATATATATATATATATATATATATATATATATACACATATTTTGTGTTGCTGGCAATTGAAACCAGGTCTCAAGATACCGCTGAACCATATCTCTGCCCTTTGGATCATAATTTTTGATAAATTTTTATTTTAATTTAAAGTGAA